CTTCTCCCTCTCCCACTCCCCCTGCTTGTGTTCCCTCTCTCACTGTGTCTCTCTCTGTCAAATAAATAAATAAAATCTTTAAAAAAAAAAAGAAAAGAAAACATCATGCTAAGTGAAAGAAGCCAGTCACAGACCACATATTGCATGATCCCGTTCATATGAAATGTCCAGAACAAGCAAATCTATACAGACAGAAAGTATTAGTAACAGCCTAGGGCTAGGGGAGGAGGCAATGAGAAGTGATGGCTAACAGGTACAGGGTTTCTTGCTGGCATGACAAAGATGTTCTGAAATTGATTGTGGTGACGCACAACTCTGTGAATATTAAAAACCACTGAAATGTATGTAAATTTTATCTCAATGAATAGGCAAATTGTGTATAAATTTTTATCTCAATAAAACTGTTTTTAAAAATGAATAAGATCTCTATGAACACATATGGGTGATTTTCAAGACATATTTTTAAGTGAAAAAAGCAAACACAATTATCTATAGCATGCCATCTTTCATATACGAAAGAAGAGGATATAAGAAAATACACAACCACCTGTTCATTTGTACAAAAGAAAGGATAATCCAGACACCAAAGAGATCAGTTAGCTACAGGGGATGAGTGGGAAAGGGGTGAAATGTAGGGGAGAACCGGAACAAGGTGGCAGGGGTAGGGGAGGGAGTGACACTTCCCTGAGTATACCTTTGTTACAGTTCTTACTCTTAGAACCACAGCCATGTTTCCCAGTCAAAAAATAATTAAAACCAACTGAGATCTACGGGGAACCCAAAATGAAATATAAACGTTAACAATGAACCTACTGTATTACAAATTACATAACCACACTGAAGGGTATGAGGAAGAAAAGAACTAACCTAAGGAACTGTGCAGAATAGTATCTTGATTGGATACTAGAAGGCTAAAGACAACAAGAAGTGTGATTCCAGGTTTGGGGCAGAGAAAACACAAGATGAGTCTGGAACATCCTGAGGTGCCAGAAAATAAGTAAATGCTCCAAAAAATGATGAGGATTCGTTGAGAGGACACAGCAGCTAACCTGAAGGAGATTCTGAACAAACAAAGCCAGAACAGTGAACAAAATAATGGTAACATTAGATTTTAACCCATGGAATAAAATGAGTATCTATAGGGCCCATACTAATATATATAAATGAGAGAAGGGATAGTTCTTCCTTTAACTGAATTTGAATTAATAAGTATAGAAAGAAAGAAACAGGTAATTACCTTTAGGCAAACACCACAGAGACCCACAGATGGATGCTAACTATGGTCAGTGGGCATAAATTTGTGAGAACCAGAATTCCCATCCTTCCAAAGTATTTCCCCCAAGATACTTACTAAAGGGAAAGATAGTAACTTTATAGTATAGAAACCTGGCAGACTAAACCAAGCAATGAAGATAACTATCACCAGTAATAAGACATATCAGCATCTTGAACTCCTTGATATGATACACTGAGGACAACACACTGTTTGTGTTATTCTGGCCAAAAATGCATAACCTCACATGAATTATGAGAAAACATTAGACAAATCCAAGTTGAGGGATATTAGACAAAATAACTGATCAGTACTCTTGAAAAATATCAAGGCTAAGAAAGACAAAACTATGTGATCGTTAAGGACTAAGGAGACTAAGGAGCAATAACTAAATGCATTATGGGAAGTTAGAATCATAGAGTGGAAACTAGAACATTGTGCAAAACTGGTCAGATTCAAACTAGGTTTACAATTGGGTTAATGATACTGTATTAATATTAGTTTCCTGCTCTTGATAGTTGTATTATGATTCTGTAAGATGTTAACATTAGAAGCAGGGTGAAGGAAATAAGGAAACTCTGTATTATTGTTGCAACTTTTCTCTAAATCTAAAATTAGTTTAAAATAAACAGTTTAAAAAGAAATAGCCACTTGAGCACTTGAGATTATGTATTCATCATCTGTAAGCAATGTGAGGATGGGGACCATGTCTGTATTATTCACCAGAAACCCCAGAAACCCACTAAAAGAAGCAAAAAAAAAAAGCAGCTATTGAATAAAGAAAGAAAATATCTATTCATTTCTCAGACTCCCAGCCCAGCAATCATATTATCCTAGAATAGCACATTCAGGAGTTTAATGTCACAAATTTCCAAACTCTTTAGACCATGGTTTCCATGGCCTTAAGAACACATGATAAAGAACAGCACACCTTAAGTACCTCAGCACCTTGACCCAGTCAGTGATAAGCAGTGGTGTTTCCTGACATGCTCTGGTCTGGGAGTCAGGAAGCTTAGATTTTAGGCCGAGTTGTGTTACTTCCTGGCTGTGTGGTTAGCTTGGCGTAAGAGACCCCTCTCTGAATCTCAGTTTCCTTTATCCTATGAGGTTTGGGGCTAGATTAGGGGTCAGCAAGCTAACTAGCCTACCGTTTTTGTACAGCCTAGGAGCAAAGAATGGTTTTGACTTTTTAAGATTTTATTTATTTATTTGAGAAAGAGAGAGACACAGAGCACAAGCCAGGAGGAGAGGGAGAAGCAGGCTCCCCGCTGAGCAGGGAGCCTGATTCGGGGCTGATCCCAGGCGGCTGGGATCATGACCTGAGCCGAAGGCAGAAGCGTAACCAAGTGAGTCACCCATGCACCCCAGTTTTAACATTTTTAAATGGATGAAAAAATTCATGACACATGAAAATTATATAAAAATTACATAAGATTCAAATTTCAGTGTCCATAAATAAAATTTTATTGGAACACTGCCACTCGCTTACCTATTGTCTCTGCCTGTATCCAATGTATAATGCCAGAACTGAGTAGACAGAGTAGGCCCCCTAAGCCTAAAATACTATTAAAAATATGCAATTATATTCACAACATACTATGATATAATTATATTAATATTATAAGTATTATTACACTTACAACATAAGTTTGCCGACCTCTAAAGGAGACCACTCAAAGGATATTTTAGTTCTAACCACAGTTATGAATCTCATAGAAGGAACTGTAGCTGCATGAAACCCTAAGTCCCACAGTTATGAACCACAGGCCCATAGTAACCCAGGCCCCAAAGAGTTCCGTGGCTCCAAAATCACTTGTGCAGACACCTGAGCGTCAGTAGGCTCTACCTAACTGGGGTCCTCCTCCACCTCCTGGGAAGCAGTGCACTCAAGATTTTCAGTCTATGGGTGCCTGGCTGCCTCAGTCGGTAGAGCATGCAACGCTTCATCTCTGGGTTATAAGTTCAAGCCACACATTGGGTGTACAGACTACTTAAGAATAAAATCTTTAAAAAAAAAAAATTTTTTTTCAGTCTAGACTTGGGCTGACACAGTTAGTTGGCTGACTCTGGACAAGACCCTTCACCTCATCTGGGCCTCCGTTTCCACCCGTATAAATGGCGCTATTAACAGCACTCACCTAGCAGGGCTGCTGGGAAGGTGAACTAAAAGGACGTAAGTGAAGTAGAGGGTTAGCACCGGGCTCAACACCGGCAGACGCACAATCAATGGTGGCTCCCGCTGCTGTCACCGAGAACCACTCCCGAGGCTGGAGCCCGTCCTAGGCACCCTAGGGTGACGGCAAGAGCCATGAAGAGGCCCGCGAGGAAGTCAAGAGCCCCGGCCTCGCCGCTCCTGCCCTCCAGCCTCGGTTTCCCCGAATGTGGCACTCAGGCTACCGGAGGCGCCCCCCTCCCCCGCGTCCGCACCGGCCTTGGCCCCGCGCCCACCGCCCCTCAAGCCCGCGCCCCGGCTCCCTTCCTTGGTTCAGCAGAGCCGCGCCCCCACCCGGGGGATGCCCCCAAACCAGCCACCCGGGAACTCACCAGGCGTCTCCACGGCAACGGCCGGCCTGCCCCGACCCCCGCGCCGGCCGGCTGCGCGCCTGACAATAAGGCGCGCTCCCATTGGTTTCGGTACCGGCTCCGCTAGCCAATCAGCGAGGGCGCACGCGCCGCTCGCCCACGGAGCGAGCTCTCTGGGACACCGGGGGCTGCGTGAAGCCAGCCGCGCGAGTGTAAACGGTTCCGGTCCCTGCATTTGGGCACTCGAACTATTGTGGGCTCGGAGCGCCGGCTTGAGGTTCCGACCTCTGTTCCCCACCAGTTGTAATATTTGGGAAACGCCGAATTTGGTGCCTGGCCCCGAGCAGTCGCTAAATGATGGGCGGTGTTACTATTTGATACAACTTGGGACAGGTGCTCTGAAGGCAATGGAAACTTGAGGAACACTTAGGGGGAACCAGGGTAGAAGGAGCGTTCTCCTTTATATACCCTGTGCCTCACCTCTTTCTGAAGAGGATTTGAAGCCCAAAAGGCACAGATACAATGAACTATTGAAAGAAAGATAAAACAAAAACAAAAATCACAAAAATTCAAGATCGGGTAAATGAACGGGCTGAGGAGGGAGTGACAGAATTCCAAACCTGAAAAGAGGAGTCAGCATTTATAGTTTTCCGGAAACGGCCTCGGGTTGAGAGGTTAAACCCTTGGGAGCTAAGCCTTTTAGGGAAAGGTTTCACAAGTGGTGGTTGAAATTCATAGTTGCTTGAGTCCAGCAAAAATGATTTAAATAAGGGGCGCCTGGGTGGCTCAGTTGGTTAAGCAACTGCCTTCGGCTCAGGTCATGATCCTGGAGTCCCGGGATCGAGTCCCGCATCGGGCTCCCTGCTCGGCAGGGAGTCTGCTTCTCCCTCTGACCCTCCCCCCTCTCATGCTCTCTCTATCTCATTCTCTCTCAAATGAATAAATGAAATCTTTAAAAAAAAAAAAAAAAAACTTTAAAAAAAAAATGATTTAAATAGGAATGAATATTATGGCTTTCTCTTTGACCGTACATAAAGACGATAAAATCATGGTGAAGAACTCATAGCTTCAGTTCAGAACAATAAAGCTTTAGTGATACACAGGAGTTGCAAAAGTAATGGAGTCGTGGGACGCCTGGGTGGCTCAGTCGGTTAAGTGTGTGCCTTCCGCTCAGGTCATGATCCCAGAGTCCTGCTCAGTGAGGACCCTGCTTCTCCCTCTGCCTGCTGCTCCCTCTGCTTGTGCCCTCTCTCAATCCACCCCCCTTAATCTTAAAAAAAAAAAAAAATGGGAAGGGTAGTCCACGCAGCAGGGAGCTGTGTGGCAAGCTTTTGGAGGTGAGAAACAGGGCAGGCCATGCAGGATCCTCAGGCAGCATAGTAATACCAGGGCGCAAAGCTCAGGGCCACAGTGGGGATAATGTGGAGGGGGAGGGGACAGTCGCCCACAGCAACCAGATGACATCACTCTCACTACAGTTGGGCTAAGACACTTAAGGTGGACCAGATAGGAGGCTGCTGCTTTATGTCCCGTCTAGGAACATAACCTGAACCCCTCCTTGGGCACTTCAACCATTCATTCAGATTCAACCCATGAACATTCCCTGAGCCCCTCTGGGAAGCAGGACACCCATGTTGGCAGAAGGAATGAGCGCAGGAACATTTGGGATGGAGCCAAAGGAAGGAACTCCAAGCTCTAGGTTTTAATGAGAGTCCACAGTAGTGGTCAGGTACACACACCACAAGCACAAGAACACGCCACTGGAAACTAACTTTACCATGTTGACAGCACAGGCTAAAAATCTCAATTTGGTATTTCACAGGTGTACTAAGACAAGAAAGATGGACTTTCAACTCTAGAGGTAAATACAGTGCTCACCACCGTGTCTAAGGGTCATGGTATGTAAACTCTGCATCAAGCAACTGGAAGGAAACTGAAAAGGACACCCTTTAGGCTCCCCCACCCTGCCCATATATCCCTGAAATGTGAAAGCATGGTATAGTATTTAGATGGCAATTGTATTCATTCCTTTTCTAGTGGCAGACATTGCATTTCCAGGTTTGCTATTCCAGGACATGGCTTTTACAAGGTGCACAGCTACAGAGGATTCTCAGCAAGACTCATGGGAGATGGAGTTTGGGAATGCCCAGGAAAGGTCCCTTCTGAAGCCCAGCTGTTCTGCTCCCCTGCTGGGCACAGCATTCTATGGGCAGCAGGCTGCATGGGCCAGCTCAAGCTGAGGACAGGAACATCTATCTGGTCAGCAAAATCTGGAGGAACACCCAGCCTGGACCAGCTGCCAGCCCTATCAGCCAGCACACCGGCATGGAGAGCAGGACCTCCAGGCTGCACCTTCCACCCTTGGATTTGAGCAGCCTATCTACAATACATGAGACAGTGGCCCGGAAGACAGGAAACATCCCACCTCTCAGGTTCCCTAAAGTTCCCACCTCATAAACCAACCCTGCTGCCCAGGGTGACCCAGAATGCCAGGGAGGGGTAAAGGGAGATAAAGAAATCATGTTTGAAAGACAGAGGTCTCGGGGTGGGGTGGAAAAAAGAAGAAAGACGAAGTCTCTTCATTTATTTGACATGAGGATGGGGAAGATGATGACTGTGAGGTCATAGGCACATCTGCATGAAGGAGTGCCAGAAGCTGGTATCCACCAGGCCCTTACTCTGCCAGGAGGCCTCTCTGGAAGGGGCAGACAGCTGACAGATGCATGCCCTGATGCCCTCTGTGCCAATCATAGGAAAGTCATGACTGTCCCTTTCTTGCCAATCTGCCAGGGCTCCAGGGGGAAAAAGCGGATAATCATCCTTCAAGAGAAAAAAAGAAAAAAAAAAAAAATGTTATCAGCTCCTTGGCTAATGCCTTATATTCCAATGCCTAGCTGGGCACTCCTACCATGGGCTCCCAGACCAGCCTGCCTTAACCTAGCAGGCATTTTATAAGCCTGCCCCAACCCATTAAAGATCTCCCACTGTGGGCCAGTCAGGGGCAGGATGGTGGTTGCCCCAGACAACACAGCAGCCTCTATGGTCACTGTATGCGCTGTCTATGGACTCAGAGGGGCAGCCCTCCTGCTTCCAAAATGCAGGCTCCCCGGGGGCATGTGCAGTGCCCCAGCCACCTTTGTTTTCTCAAAGCCTAGCTCAAAACCAGGCACAAGGTGAGCCCCCCTCCCCCCCCACTGATGTCTATGGAATGAACAAACATGCCCCTTTCACAGAAGTGATGGGAAGTTCCTGGTGAAGAGCAAGATACTTGGGGTAACCTGAAGGGTAGTAGGGGAAGGGTTGGTGTGACAGGTTTAGTTTTCCCATCTGTAAACCTCACAGGGATGGCATGTCTGCACAAGGTGGTGTGAACAGAGGGACAGAGCTTGCATGGATCAAATGGGATGATGCACATAAGGTATCTAGAGATAACGTGGCACACGGTAAGCATTCACATGTTACGTATTGTTCTTACAATTATTATCTCACCCCAACTTGAGGACCAGGTCTGAGCACTCCCAGGAATAACCATTCCTCACCAGTCTTCCTGGGCCAACAAAGGATCCATTCTAGAAGGTTCTTTCAAGCTTCTCATGCTCTTAGTTCCTCATAGGCATGGGCTTGGCTCAGGAATATTTTTCACCCAGAAAAAAACTAACTCTGACACCGAATCCCAGGTTGGGGGGCTGTTCAGGCTTCTTGGGTGATCATTTAAAACATTCCCCTCTGTTCACAGAAGAGAAGCCTACAAACCAGAGATGGTTCATTTCCAGGTTTGTCAGGCATCCCCCAGCTGTGAGGGACCCAGAACTCAGGTCTCCAGACATCCAAGCCAATGTTCTTTCCACTACTTCCTGAGCCTCCTAGGAGGCTGGGAGCCACCTGGGACCTAGTTGGCTACAGGCCCAAAGGTCACACAGCCTCAGGACATACCCAGAATTCCTCCCAACCAGCCTGGAGAAGTTCTCCTAGAAAATTATTCTTGATTTTCTAAGATGTGGAGAAGACTAAAGGCGGATGATAAATGGTCATAGCTTTGTCAGGTTAATAACGTTCTACCCTACCCAGTGCCAAGGCAGATACAGTGCATGGCCATCCCACAGGACTCCAGCAATTCCCCCAGGGAGCGGTGAAAGTAGAGCCTTCCCACAGCACAGATGTTAACAGGTTTGCAAGGCCACGCCTTCCCCAGGTGTCAAAAGGACCGTAGCAGAGTCAGGAATTCATTCAATTCCGCTACCATTCTGAGGGTGGACCCACCATCCGAGGGCCCAGGGCACTAGGCCCATCTGAGCAGGGCGAGGAATGCATTTTTCTCCCAACCTTAGAAGGAGCTCTGGTATGGGATCACTGCCCCCATCCTCTCCCTGCCCCCACGCACCGATCCTGGCCCAGGTTCAGCTCTTTGGTGAGGAACTCGAAGAATCGGGCGCTGTGGCCACGGTTGTCCTCGGCTGTGCCTACCACACCGATGGAGGAGATGAGGAGTTGCGCGCAGGGCTCCGTGGAGCCGTTCACCGCCATGGCCAGACCTGGTCGCACCGTTACGTTCACGCGCTGCGGGGAACACGAAAGTTTCACCTGAAGCCGGTGCAGGCCGAGTTCGCGCTGAGGACCCGGGAGGACGAGAGCCGACAAGCGCCGGCCCCTGGGGTCAGGGCTAGAGGCTCGGGGCGGGGTCCTTGACGGTCACGTCGGTGTCAGGGCCAGGGAAGGCAGCACGGAGCAGACATGAGGGGTGGGGAGAGCGGGAGGCCAGGGCCTGGCGGGCGGGGACCCCTGCGACGAAGAGCCCGGGTCGCGGTGGGGAAGCCGGGGCGCGGACAGAGCCCGACCCCCGGCCCACCAGCCTCCTCCCGCCGGGTGCTCCCCGGCCCACGCTCACGTCCTCAGGTTTGCTCAGGATGGCTGCAGTGGCCGCGCAGAGCCGCTTCTCCAGTCCTGCGGGCACACGGCCGGCGGGCAAGTTCGTGTCCAGCTCGACGAACGGCATGTTTGGCCGGAAGGAACAGGTGGGCCACAGCAGCAGAAAAAGAACGCACCAAGTCCGGGGCGCTGTTCCCAAGGGTAGCAGACTAGGCAGCAGGGGCCGGGCGCCACGGAAACCAGGCTCCTTATTGGCTGGGCAGGCAGCAGCGCCCCCGGATTGGCTGCATAGTCTACACCACCCCTCCTCTGCTGGCGCTGACTTCCGGAAGTGCTAAGGCCGGACCGGGAGAGGGGGAAGAGTGAGGTGTCTGACGCCGTCCCAAGCCGACTGGCTGAGCCACGGCCCGGTCCACAGTGTCCCGGCCTCTACCGGCTCCCGACACACTGGCCGGGGGTTTTCTGGCTCCCTGGGCTGCTGGGTGGTGCAGTCCTCTGCTTCCTAGCCCATATTTAGATTGTTAACCCCGAAAATAAAATAGCCAGTTATTTTACCAGTAAAAATGGGTTTCTTCGAGGATGGCAGAGAATTGCAATTTGGGACACGCAGCCGAAGACAAAACCACAGCCAAGTCCAACCAACAAAGAAGAGAAGCGTTTTTTAACAGAGGAAAGGGAGGAGTTGGGACTGTTAGAAACACAAAGTCCGCGGGAATAAGCTGAAAGAGTGTGGTCGCGTTTCAGTGGCTGAGTTGTGACAGTGTCGCACTGGATGGACGGGGCAGGGGGGGTGGGGGTATCTTTCTTTCCTCTGCTGGTAGTAATGTAGTCTTCTTTCCCTTGGGGATGCAAGGTAGGGTTCTTCCTGTTGAGGTTGCAAAGAGCTGCAAGGAGTAGTAGGTGTGAGAGCTCCCCCTTCTGGCCTCCCGACTTTATTGTAAATGAGGTTTTCTTTATGCCGTTTCATAAAATGGGGCTTTGAACACACCCAAAACATACACACCTGTAGGGGCCTTTACCGGGCTCCATCCTAATTCTTTTTTTTTTTTTTTTTTTTTTACTGTGTTGCTACCATTTCCAAATAAGGCGACTTCACGTTATATGTAGGAATCTACACTTCTCTTGACCAGGAGCCAGGTGACACTTGCGAGTTCAGGTGGGGCTGGACAGAGACCCTCTGGCTCACTACATCCCTACCTGGCCCTGACAGACATCTGCCTTTGTGGCCTCTTGCACCTGTGGTAACCTTGTCTCATAGTGAAGTACTGTCCATCAAGGGATGAAAGCCAGGTCCTAGTCAAATTACCAGCCATGTTTACAGTACCCTATATTTTTATGGTCAAAACAAAATGTGTCACTTAAAACATGGAAATCTGGGGGTGGATGGGTGGCTCAGTCAGTTAAGTATCTGCCTTTGGCTCAGGTCATGATCCCAGGGTCCTGGGATCTAGCCTGGTATCAGGCTTCCTTAGGGAGTCTGCTTCTCCCTCTGCCTCTGCCCCTCCCCCCACCCCCCCACCCGCTTGTGTGAGCTCTCTCTCTCTCTCAGGAATAAATATTTTTTAAAAACATGGAAATCCTGTTGATATGGCTAAACATGGCACTCTCATCAGTGTTGCAAACTTGTTTGACTTGTAAATGAAAATGCAATTGAAATTTTGTGGGTGTATATGAATAATTTCAATTACACTTCTAAAATTCTATATGAGTGTGCACACTAGAGGAGCCTTGGGGCGCCTGGCTGGCTCAGCCGGGTGAGCATGTGACTCTTGATCTCAGGGTTGCAGGTTCAAGCCCCATGTAGAGATTACTTAAAAATAAAATCTTAAAAAAAAAAAAAAGGAGTCTCCATGAGAAGGCAGGCAGTTTATTGGATAACTAAGATATCAGAGGGTCTAGGACACAAGACACGTAGATTCTGACAGTCTTGAGGAGAAAGGACGGGGACAGGTGGCAAGTCTGGGACCCAGGGTGGGGCACAGATAAGACAGTGGCCGGGTTCTGAGTAGGCTTGGGAGAGCAAGGCCTCTCAGTTGATGGGGTTTTGGAATGTAGGTGAGGCTCAGTGGGGTGGTGTCGGGAGCGACAACTAAGAAAGAATTCTTGAGACGTCTTTGGTGCAAAATGGTGGTTTATCAAAGCACGGGGACAGGCCCCGTGGGCAGAAAGAGCTGCAACTCCGGGGTTGTTAGGGGTGGCTGATTATATACCATGGGGTTGGGGGAGGTAAGGAAAAAGGTTTCAAGAGAACTTTCATATGCTAAGGAGGACCTACAAGATAGGGAAGCCTTGCCATTGTCAAGTTAAGGTTGTTTTTCCCCTCTAGCAAGGCATTAACATTAAGATAGTTGGGAACTTTCTGGAGGAACATTACATTCTGCCCACTTCAAGTATCTGTCCATGGGCTGCAGGTTATAAGGACATTTAATTGTATTTGCATTCCCTTCTGGAAGCTATTGCTAAGGCTTTTGTGGGTAAACTGAGGGAGACTCAGGTCTTGCAGGATTGGGGTCTCTAGTTAACTATTTGTTTTTCCTTTTGGGCATCCAGGAGTGCCTGAGGAATGTCACATATATCCCATGGGGGGGCAGGGTACGGGGTGTCAGCTTCTGCTTTGTCCTCAGCTTGCCTTCTGTTCCCTCAGCAGCACCCAGAGTGCCAGGAACTAACCTGGGACTTCCCTCCCTGCAAGGAGCTTCATAAACCAGCCCTGCACCCAACCCACCTGTGGGAGACAGCATCACCCCAGAGGGAGGACAGTGACCTAAGAGCACAAGGCCATGCCTGATTCAGACATCTCTTCACCAGCGTGAACCCCATCTATGACATGTGCTCAGTCGAGGGGTTGCTGAACCAGCTTTGTTCCAGGGTTGAGGGGAGGGAAGCACTGGGGCTAAGGAGCCTGGGGGTGGAGGGGTGTCATCTGACTTGGTCTGGAGCTGGGGAAGTCAGGGAAGCCTCCCTGGAGAAGTGAAAGGTGACAAATGCCTAAAGACCAGAAGGGGCACCGGGCAAAGGTGAAGACAGACCCTATTAGCCATGAAAACAGCCTGAGCCAAGGCCAGGAGGTGGAGGTGGGAGCTGGGAGAAGGGGTCTAAAAATGATGGGCTACTGTGTGCAACCAGAAGGGGGTGCCCTGGAGGGGTGGGCAAGGCCTTGAATGCAAAGTTCAGTGATTCATACTTTAGCCCCAGAGCAGTTCAGCACCATAGAAAGTTTCAAACACAGGAGAGACAGGGTCAAATATGTGTTTACTAAGCTCTTTCCAGGGGTGACACGAAGTCAGAGTGGAAGGGGTGGGAGTGGAGTGTGGAGACAGACAGAAGAAGGAACGAAGACCTGATGCTTGGAGGGAACCAGGACCCAGAGCCTGGAGAGTATGTCTTGCTCACAGCCTAGGAGGGACAACTCCACCTCTTCATTCTGACAACAGAGTCTCCATCATCTCTGCAAGCCTGGCCTTCCACTCACTGCAATAAACCCTGAACAGAGGGCTTCAGTTTCTCCTTTATGGCCGGGTCAGCTGGAGGCAAGTCCTTGACCTTCATGACAGCTGCATGTGCCTCCTGAAAGAGATCCTTCCCCACCTCGGCCTCCACACGTTGGCGCCATGCAGCCAGCTTGGGTCGGCTTTTGAAGACTTGGCAGCCAGCACTGACAGGCTATGGGGACAGGAAGCCAAGTGGAGGGGGTAGGCATGGTCAAGCACAAGCCAGGATGACCTAGTTGAGTAATTCCCCAGGGTGGATTTTCCCTCCTTGGCCACAACATGTAATAGGCTGGATGTTCTCTGGGAGACACTGGAAGCTTCTCAGTATTGCTGCAGGATAGGGTCTGAAGCCCCATTTTACAGATGAGAACACTGAGGCTCAGAGAGGGGAGTGACTTGCCCAGGGTCCCACAACCAGGAAGGGCAACATTGGCTCCCTCCCAGGACACCCCACTGCCCAGTGGACCACCCCATGGCACTCACATGCATCAGCTCTGTGATGGCCATCAAGTCAGCCACTGAGATGTGAGGTCCAGCAACGAAGTCCTGGTCCTTTAGGAACTTGTCCTCAAGCAGCTGCAGGCACCTGTCCAGCTCAGCCAGGGTAGATGCCAATGTCTCAGGGGGCACCTGTTCACCCAGGAACACTGGGAACATCATCTGCTGGATGGGCAGGCAGAGAGAGGGCTTAGGGTCTGCTCAAAGCCTAGCCTAGTTCCTGCTCTCATCCAATCTACCACCAGGCCTTCAAATTTCTCCTCACTCCGACCCACTCCTTCCACCCACGGCCACCACCAGCCCAGGCGTCATCTTCTACTCCAACATGGACAGCCTCCACTCTCCCTAGGGCCTCATGCAAGGCAGCCAGTGGGGGGAACTTCTGGAATCCCAGTCTGCCCATAACACCCCCTGCATAAAGCCTTCCATGGCTCTCCACTACCCTCACCATGAAGGCCTCAACACAAGGCCCCTCCTCAGTGCAGCAGTCACCCTCTCCCCATTCCCCACCTCCTTCTCCACCCCAGGCTTCTCAAATGGGATGATGCATGTGAATCCCTCTGGGATCTGGTTAAAGTGCACATTCCTAATCTGAATGCCTGGGTGGTGCCTGAGACTCTGCATTTCTTTTTTTTTTTTTTTAAAGATTTTATTTATTTGAGAGAGAGAGACACAGCGAGAGAGGGAACACAAGCAGGGGGAGTGGGAGAGGGAGTAGCAGGCTTCCCGCGGAGCAGGGAGCCCGATGCGGGGCTCGATCCCAGGACCCTGGGATCATGACCTGAGCCGAAGGCAGACGCTTCACGACTGAGCCACTCAGGTGCCCCAAGACTCTGCATTTCTAAGTTCCCAGGTGGTCTGATGCTCCTGGTCCCTGGACCACAATTTGAGTACCTAAGGTCTATACTCACTCTGTTTGACTTCTCTCCATTCTGCCTTCAAACCCACCAGGCTCCTGCTTCTACCAGCTCTTCGGGGTTCCTCTTCTAGCCCCGAGAGGCTCGAGGAAGACACTTCTAAGGTTATAGAAACCTGCACTTTGCCCAAGGGCCCTTCAGAACGGTGGTACTCTACCTGCAGCAGAGTATGAGCATACCCTTCTCATGCTCCCTCCCATGAACAGGGCACCCACTGTGTGCCAGGCCCTTTGTAAGTACCCTACAAATAACAATTCAGAGCACACATCTCAAAAACATCCGTACATTTGATGGGTAAAAATGGTATGTGTGTGCTGTTTTAGTGTGCATTTACTTGATTCTTACTTAGGTTAAATGTATTTTCATCCACTTAATGACCATTTCTCTCTGTTCTTCAAGTAAATCTCCGCTGGTTTCCTGTGCCCATTTTTTCTCCTGTGCCTTTGTTTGAGGGCTTTCTGAGAGCATCTTAAATACTAAGAATGTTACTTCTTTCAGGGGCAGCTGGATGGCTCAGTTAAGCATCCAACTCTTGATTTGGGCTCAGGTCATGATCTCAGCATGGTGAGATGGAGCCCAGTCGGTCAGTCTCCACGCTCAGTAGGGAGTCTACATGAGATTCTCTCCCACTGCCCCTCCCTGCACCCAGTTCATGGGTGGGTGCGTGTGCATGCTCATGTGTGCTCTCTCTCTCTGTCTCTCAAATAAATGAATCTTTAAAAAAAAGTGTTATTCTTTTTTTTAAAAAAGATTTTATTTATTTATTTGAGAGAGAGAGAGCACAGAGGGATGGGAAGAGGAAGAAGCAGACTCCCCGCTAAGTAGAGAGCCCAGTGCAGGGCTCGATCCCAGGACCCTGAGATCATGACCTGAGCCAAAGGCAGATGCTTAACTGACTGAGCCACCCAGGCACCCCTTTCTTTTTTTTTAAAGATTTTATTTATTTATTTTAGAGAGAGCAAAAGCAGAGGGAGGAGAAGAGGGAGAGGGAGAAGCAGACTCCATGCTCAGTGTAAAGCCTGACCCAGGGCTTGATCCCAAGACCCTGAGATCAAGACCTAAGCTGAAATCAAGAGTCTGATGCTTAACTGACTGAGCCACCCAGGCACGCAAAATTTACTTCTAACAAATCTTTGCCGGTTTTTTGCTTGTTTTAAGTTTAATCCTTTCCTCCTTACACAAAATGTCATTGTTATGCATAAAATCTATTAGGCTTTTCTTTAAGTCTTTCAGTGTTTTTAGGCTTAGAAATCCTTGAACACCCAGAAATCAGACCAACTTTATTGAAATGACGCCTCATTTCTTCCTAGTTTGAGATTTTTCTGATTCCCAGCAGCTCAGGAATCAGGGCACATTGGGGGAAATCACTCCCTGGCTCTGCCCTGGCTTCCCCTCTGGGAAACAAGTTGGCTGGACTAGAGTCTCTGGCATTCTACAATTTGGTGTTCTAAGGCCTCAGGTCTGAGCGGAATTTTTTTTTTTCAAGATTTTATTTATTTATTTGAGAGAGAGAAAGTGAGCGAGAGAGTGAGACAGCATAAGCAGGGGGAGTGGCAGGCAGAGGCAGAGGCAGAAGCAGATTCCCCGCAGAGCAGGGAGCCCAACATGGGGCTCGATCCCAGGACTCCGGGATCAGGACCTGAGCCGAAGGCAGATAGCTTAACAGGCTGAGCCACCCAGGCGCCTGAACAGAATTTTTTAAACAGGAAGCACTGTCGCTTGAGCATCCTCGAAGGGTCTCCGTCCTGCCATAGCTCACCTTCTGCCACATGGCTCGAGTGCAGCTACTCCGCAGGGCTGTGTGCTGCCAGGCTAGGTACTCGTCCACACGGGCACGGGCCTGCAGGTCCTGGGGGTACCAGTGGTCGGGGACCTCATATTTGCGACTCAGATACAACAGGATGGCCACACTGGGGGACACGGAGGGGGTGAGGAACATGTACTAGTCACTTTCCAGCCACTCCACAGGGGCTAGGCCCCAGGTGGAGGCTGGCCCCCACTGCTCACATTTCCCCAACTCCTATGGGTGGAGCATTACACTATCTCTGCACCATGATGCAGAGTAGGAATGTGAGGCTCAGAGAGGTTAGGTGACTGCCTAGGGTCACACAGCTCTACGTTGAGTCATCCTATCATCTGAACTAAGGGCACCAAGTGAAAAACAAAATGTCTTGGGATTTCAGAAGGAGGGTGATGGGGTACTCAGAGAAAGCTTCCAGGAGGAAGGGGGGCCCAACATGGTTCCTGAAAGACAACAGCAACTCAGATAGCACTCCCCACCATATACCATGCATGGTCACGACAGGAGCAAGGAGAGCTGTCCCCTCACTCCCTGGGGCTGGGACAAAGCCTCCCAGGTGAATGGGTCACTGCTCCCCACCCTGTCCCACTCTCCTCTCTACCTGCCCAAAGCCTCCAGCCTCCTCCCCCAGGAAGCCCTCTTTGACCTCCTCCCTTCCCCTCTCCCTCTACCATGTCTGGCCTGTGCATCATGTCTGGCCAGAGCACCATGCCTCCATGGATGTTGGACTGTCCAACGACCAGAGGTTCTGAAGCCAAGTGGAACGTGAATCTGGCTCTACCACAGAGGTACTATGTGGCCTCAGTAAAGGATATCACTATTCAGTCACCAACCTGGAGGCTGGCCTGGGTTCTCATCTCTCCCACCTACCGCCATCTCTTCAGCACACTCTTGGGCTTGACCTTCAAGGGCAGTCAGAACTGACCACTACATCCCCCTGTACCACCACCTTGGTCTGGGATCCCAGCACCTCTCTCCTGGATAAGCGTAGTACCTTCTCACCCCAGCCAGAGGGATCCTTTAAAACCTAAGTTGGATCTCAGCTCTCCTCTGCTTAAACTCCTGCAATGGCCCCATCTTGCCTACAGTAAAAGCCAAAGTCTTCCTGGCCCCACATGCTCCCCTCCGACCTCATGCCCTGCTTACTGCCCCTCCCTCACCCCAGCCACGCCGGATGTCTTGCCTCTTCAACCTGTCCCCCAAGCATTGTCCCCCTTCATAGCCTTTGGCTTTGTTGTTCCCTCCAGCCAGAACACTCTTCCCAAATACCTTGCTCCTCTGTTCCTGTAGGTCTCTGCACAGATGCCTCCTCCTCAAGGGGCCCTTCACTCAACATCTTACTCAAAATTGCACACCCCCCCACTCTTAGCCTATTTTCTCCATGGGTTACACCTAACAGAGATTAGCAGTCCCCCCTTCTAGAATATAAGCTCCAGGAGGCCAAGGGCTTAGAATTGTTCACTGCTTTGGCGCCACAGCCTAGATGGTTCTTGGCCCTGGTGGGTGCTCAGCAAATAGCCACTGAAGCTCTCTGGGTGCTCTCTTGACTCCCAGGGCAATAGTACTTGCCCCCAAGATTTGTAGAAGTGGTAGGGTACAGCTACTCCTCAAAATTTAGCTCACGTTCCATCTGGGGGCTGGGTTGGCAGAGAGGAGGCCTGGACACAGGCTGGGCCCTGTGACCTTGGGCAAGCCCCTCCTCTCTGGGCTTCAGTTTCCTCCTTTATACAATGGGCCAGAGGGGCGAGAGGGGCTGGAGGGGGGGATGCCATGACTTCAATAGCTCCTCCCAGCCCCAGGCTCCTCTGCCTGCTGGGGCTGCCACAGGTGCTCAGGGCACACAAGCCGTGATCCAAGCCATCAACAGTAGATACACAGATGGCTGACTGGTCTCACAAGGCCTGGGTAGCAGCCTGGGGACCTGATACCTCTCGGCCAAAGTGAAGTCCCCGTCCTTCAAGGCTGGCACCTTCTTCAGGGGATTCACCTGGGCAAAAGCATCGCTGTGGTGCTGGCCTGTGGGAGAGAGCAGTGAGGCCGGTGAGGAGAACTCTGAGCCCCTCTGAGGCCTCTCCCCCACCGCCACCCCAACGTCCAGGCCCCAACTTTCTGAGGCCCCTATCCAGGTGGGCAACAGGAAAGAGACCACTCTCCTGGCCACCAGATCACAGACCCTGACACCACTAGAGGCCCACCCTTCCTGCGTCCACCCCGCTGGGAGCGCGGGCCATGAAGGGAGGGTGAGTCCCTGCAGCTGCAAGTCACCCCCACCCCCAGCCCCAGCCAATTCATCCATATGTCAGACACTCCAGTCTCCTCCCTGGGCTCTAGGCTTGCCCCTGCAATCCATCTTCCTACGCCAGCTGGGTGCCCTGCCCACACCACACCTGCCCGCGGCCCCCAGTCCAGCCTCATTCTCTCCAGGACCTCCTGCCCTCTTCAGTCACCCAGCCTCCAGCAGCTCAGCTCTTCTTTCTGTCCCGTGCCAAACTCTCAAAACTCCTTCCCCAATGGGGGTTCGCAGGTCTGTTCACTTCTGCATTCCTTGGGCTGGGCCAGTGCTGGAGGGTACAATTACTGTGTGCGGAGTCAGAGGGCCTCCGTGGAACCAGGCTCCAGCCTGGCCAGAGGCCCACCTATGGGCCTCTTTGCCCTTCTCCTGGGTGAAGAGAATCAGCCCTACCCATTCTCCCCCCAGAAAATGCCTCTGTGCCCAGCCCCCAACCCAAGAAGGGCTGGAAAGGTGGAGCAAGGTGGCAGCACAGTACTTGGTGGCCCAAGCTGGGGACACCAAAGACAGAAGGTGGGCAGGCTCAGCCAAGAAGAGATCTCCCCCCTGGCCTGCCCAAGGGTAGGCCTGCTGTCCAACTGTCCTGCGGTCCAATTACAGCCCTGCCCCTGCACTGGATCCTGTAAATGTGGAGGGGAGGTAGGCAGGCCTAGGCAGAAGTAAAGAGGAGACCAGATTGAGGTGGAACCGCCTTCTGCAGGCAGCTGCAGACATTCAAGAGATGCAGGCTACTCCAATTCAGAAATGAGGAGGCAGTTTCATTGTATTCTCCAAGCCCGGGGGCGAGGGCGGGCGTGGGGGAGGTATTGGGGCACTCACTCCACTTCCCCACACCCCCCTTCCCGCCCCGCACCCCACGCCCCCCACTGCTCCCTCTCTCGGCTCTGCTCCCTCTCAACCTGTATTTCTTTTTAAAGATTTTATTTATTTATTTGACAAAGAGAGACAGCGAGAGGGGGAACACAAGCAGGGGGAGTGGGAGAGGGAGAAGCAGGCTCCCCGCTGAGCAGGGAACCCGATGCGGGGCCCGATCCCAGGACCCCGGGTTCACGACCCGAGCCAAAGGCAGACGTTTAAGACTGAGCCTCCCAGGCGCCCCTCAACCTGTATTTTGAAAAACGTTTCGTATTCACTAGGCAAAGATCGGGGCTCTTGAAAGAGACACAACCGATAACCGATTACACAGTTTCCGTACTGGAGGGTGTGTCCTCCAGTCGGTCTGCCGCGCCAGCGGCGGGGGGCGGGGGATCCGTCAGCACACAGGCGCCCCCGACCGCAGGGCCTGCCTCCCTGCCAGGCCCACCTTTGAGCAGCTCCACCGGGCGCAGCTCGAAGGGGATGCCGTTCTTCTTGGCGAAGATGTAGACGGCGCGGCAGGGCTGGGACAGCAGGTCCAGGTAGAGCTCTAGGCCCATGGCGGGAGCAGCGGACCACCCCCGGGGTCGCGCCCAGGGTATAAGACCGGGAACAGAAACGGCCAGGCCACCGAGCCTAAATCGGAGCGCAATCCGGGGGAGAGGGATGGGGGTGGGGGTGGGGGGGGGCGTCTGAGCCCCGCCACACCCTCCCCGCCCACTGGCTGGCTCTAGAGAACTTTGGGCCAATCAGCGGCGCCCCAGCTCTCCCTCCTTCCCTTCCCTGGAATCTGGGCTGCAGTTCTCTTGGTGGAGAGGACGCTGGGAGACTTGGCCTCTGACCTGAGATTTCGTTGCCAGGTCACACCCCTTTCCCGGACCTCAGTGTCTACCTTTGTCAAATGGTGCAATGGATGATGGTAATGGGAACGGGACGCCAAGGACGCTTCCAGCACAGACCCTCAGTGAATTTAGGATCGAAAGGGCTCGGCTGCCTTCAGTTGGCCCAAACCACCTCCCCAGACTCAAGGAGGGGACTGAGAGAGAAGGGGCTTCTAAGTCCCCAGGAACACAAAGGGAGGCAGAGAACGGAGGTACAGTAGCCTCCCCTGGGCCCAGTGCCCAGGATGGAGGCTGCGGAGGTTTCTGGACCCCAGCTCCTTACAGAGCCCTGGCCCAAACTCCAGGTAAAGAATGAGCCACCCCTCCCTAATCCCTGGGGTCATATTCATTACAACCCAGCTAAGCTAATCCTTCTAGCAAAAGGCGGAAGCCAGTGGGGCCCACCCAGAGGTTTGCAGGGGGGCCTGAAACTTCCTCACTTCCTTTGCAGAGCCAAGTCCCTCCAACTGACACCATCTGGCCCCTGAGGTCAGTGGTTATGAACCCCCATTCCCTAAGAGAGGCTCTTGGGGTAAGAAGACCCTGCCCCCAAAACCAAGATTCACAGAAAACCCCTTGGCAAGAGGATGTTATTGGAAAATTTAAGTAAGATTTAAGTAAAACCTATACCCCCAGGAGACTGCCTTCCTGTGCTAGGGCTAGAGCCCTCTCCAGTCTGGGAGGGGCCATGTTCTCCATCCCCTTCATTGCCCTGCCCTCCTGCACAAATCACTTTGGCAGGATCACTATAATATCCAATTTCCCTGCTTCCTCTTTGGTCACCCTCAAGTGCAAGCCCTCTCACCCAACCCCGGGGAGCCAGAATATTATTTTAAAATACAATGTGGTGGGGTGTCTGGCTGGCTCAGTCAGTAGAGCATGCAACCCTTAATCTCAGGGTCATGAGTTCAAGCCCCACAGTGGGTGTGGAGCTTACTTAAAATAAAATATAAAGAGGGGCACCTGGGTGGCTCAGATGGTTAAGC